AGAGGAATTCGTGCACAGAAAGAACATTGGTGAAGAAAAGAAAGAGACATGTATTTTGGGAGAATAGCTCAATGGTTTTTGTATTCACATAGCTCTGAATATGTATATTACAAGTTGACCTTGTACAACTAATTATAAGAAGTAATAATTATTACAACAAATATAAGTGACCTTGTACATCAATCATTTGGTGGTGAGATGGGATATACTGAGTAGCAAGAACTCCTTGGGCAAGCAATTCCCTGATAAAATGGTAGTCAATTTCAATGTGACGAGTTCGAGTTTGGGGAGAGTGGAGACATTGTCAACAAAGATGCAAGGAGAGGTACGGATTGGAATGCCAGGTTTACGAAATAGATAATAAAACCATCTTAGTTCAATGGCTGCCGTGGCAAGAGCATGATATTGAGATTCAGAACTAGAACGGGATACAGTGGTTTGCTTCTTAGCTGTCCAGTAAAGAGATTACCTAGGACCCATAAAAATACATACATCCCTATTAGACCCATGGTCGTCAATGGAACTGCCCAATCAGCATCGGAAAATACTTAATTGGAGTAGTCCTGAAAGGAGTGGAAGAGTATGCCATGCTCGATGGTGCCCTTGATATAACTATAGATACGCTTGACTGCTTGATGATGAGTGGACTCCAGATTATGCATGAATTGACATACTTGATTAACTGCATCGGCGATGCTGGGACGAGACAAAGTTAAACATTGGAGCCCGCCCACCATACTGCGATAAGTCTCCGGATTAGAAACGAAATCACCTTCATGCGCTGACAAGAGCATAGAGGAAGGATATGAACTGGGACTTGTTCTGCACAGGTCCATTTTAAATTCTTCAATAAGTCCAAAGGATATTGAGTCTGAGAGAGTGAAAGATGGCTAGTTGTTCATGTGACCTCCATTCCAAGGTAAAAATTAAAATCCTCTAGCTTACAACTAGCAAAAGTACCACATAACAGACCGATGAACTAATACCTATAGGTTTTAGTACAACATAACAGACCGATGAACTAGTGACTGGCATCAGAATTAGACTTTGTGACAATTAATTCATCAACATACTAAAACCTATAATGAATATGCAGATGAGTGATGAATAATAAAGAAGCATCAAATTTGAGAGCAGTGTTGCGTTGATAACATAATGTACGGATTTCTGTGATAAACACTACCCTTTCCATGTGATCTCCAACATTAAAATGTGCCTCAATTGTTTATAGTTGTAGAGATGATCACTTATGTTGCCAGTGATCATGGTCGAGTTTCTGGTCCAAGTACTATGCCCAGCTTTGCATTAAGGTTTTCGATTTTCAACTTAATCACACTAGTATGTAACGTACATTCATTAGAAGAGTTTCTTAGGAGTAAGAATCTCTTGTGCAAATCGTTCTCTCATAGCTCCTAGTATAAATTTAATTGGAGTGTAACTGTACAACGTATGAGAGGGTGTTAATCCGTACTTGTTATGTTGTTAGTGTGGAATACGGATGCAAGATGGTATCATGGTGCGTGAGTTTGACCATCAGCGGAATTGGTTTTGTTTTGGCAACAAAGAGAGCCATGATTACAAGTTTATTACAAATGTACAACTTGCTATAAATAGGAAGAGCATGAGTAAATTACAACTATTGAGATACAAACTTATCACGTTTGTATCACCTCTCTAATAGGAGCATATTTATGCGCCTTAGTTAGCTAGTTTTTATGCATTTTCGTTATGTTTTCTTCGTTAAAGTAGTCTTTTAAGTTACTTTCATGTGTTTTCAGGGTTAAAGGACATATTACATGAAATGATGCAATTTGGAGCTTTTTGGAGCAAAATTGAGCCGGAATGTTGTGTATGCTAATGGAGCACGAGGAATGGACGAGTTTGAAGGTCAAAGGAGCTTAAGAAATGAAGAAATAAAAGTGAAGAACAAAGAAGTCGGAATTGGCAACCAAAGTTTCTAAAGTTGGAAGTTCCTATTCTTAGAGGTTTCCATTTTCGTGAGTTTCTATTCTTGGCTTTGGGCTTTGAGATGACCTAAACCCTAATTCCTTGTGGATCCTAAGCCTATGCCGCACCCTAGGGCCTAATCATTTAATTTCTGCCAAGTTAAACCCTAATCTATCTCCCCTAGGGTTTGGGCCGCACCTTTCCCCTTCTAGAACACCAATTTCCTTGCCTTGCAAGGCTTTCTAGAAGCCCTAACCCTAGCCCACTTAATTGCCGCACCCTAGGCCCTTTTCTCACCAAATTTCTGATTGTTTAACCTATTTTTCTGGTGGATTTGGGTTTCTAGAAACCCTAATCTGATTTGTTAGGGTTTTTAAGTGCCTATATATATATTTCTACACCTAGCCGCACATATCATCTCTACACACAATTCAGAAATTATTCCAACCTTATTTCCCCACCTTGCCGCAGCCACCATCATCCTTATACCCTTAGCCGCCACTCCTCCATCCATTCCAGCCATTTCCCACACCTTGCCGCAACCCTTCTCCACAACCATACACCATTCTACACCTCCATACACCATCCATACACCTTGCCGCACCACCATACTATCCTAACTCCCTTCCAAACCCAAAATCACATCCAAAAATCCCCTAAACCCTCTCTGCCGCAGCAAGGAGAAGAAGAAGGAGGAGCTTGACGTGCAGAATTCAAAGTGGAATTGTTGGGCGTTTTAGGTGTAATCTTTCTTATGTCTTCGATGTTTCAATTCAATAAACTTTGTGTTGTGAGTATGAGGAACTAAACCCCCATAGTTGGGGGGGTAATTCGAAACCATGTACATGCTTGCAATATGATTTGATTACATTCAGTTGTTATTTCATAAGTTATGGATTCAATTCGTTCATCTATTTGATTGATAACTTATTTGTGTATGTTGATTGAGAGTGCACGCTTAGTTTTCATGCATGAATATGATGCTAGATTATGAGGGAGTTTCACCTAATAGTTACAATCTTATAATCACAAGTAGTGAAGGTCGCTTGAAAACGATCGCGTTGAATGAATTCTTAGCATAAGTTTCATGCAATTCATAGTAACAAATGCTTCGTCAATGCTTATGTTTTTCATAGAACGTAATGATTCGTGCTTGTATCTCTATTATGCAATTCATGTAGGGAACTTGTAGGGAATGTTTTGGGTTGTCGTATGCAATCATCCAACCTAATAACTTGTGGAAAAACTGAGGGTTAATTAGTGCAATTCACGGTTAATTTGGAGCGTTGAGTATTTATAATTTATTGGAAGAACAACTGAAAATCGTTTCGTTTGCAAGTGTGACATGTGTGGAGAAGAACCTCCTAACTAGCCTTTTTATCCATCCTTTTCATCCAAAAACGTTTTACAATCTGTTTAGTTTTAAGTTTCTGTTTTGTTTTCAATTTTCGTCCAAAACAAATCCCCCTTTATTTTGAAGTCTTAGATTAGTTAGAAAGTGTTTTGATTTGTGTTTCTAAGTGTTTTGATTCAAGTTTTCACCCAATTTCGTCCAAATTCTTGTTAGGTTCTCAAACTGCCCAGAAAGTGGTTTTTAGGCAGTTTTGAGTCATTAGGTTGCTGTTTTGAGTTTTAGGTTTGTTTAAGTGTTTTAACCTTTAGTTTTGCATTCTTTGAGTCTAGTTTAGTGTTTTAAACTTTGTTTTTGAGTTTTTTAGTCAGTTTCCAAGTGTTTAGCAATCCTTCCTAATCCCCGGTCTAGAACGATCCCTACTTACATCTTTGCTACAATTTGACAAAAAGAGGGTTTAATTTGTGTGCTTATCTATTTCGCATCACTCTCTGATAATGAAATTGATTTATGTTATATGACACATATGCCACGAGGTGCTGTACTCGTACCATTTAAATTGTTCTCTTAACAGAGATAGGGTAAACCAATACAAATAGGTCCCACCTCTATTAAAAAGGTGGTATGCAAATATGGTAAGAATAACATTTTTGTATAGTAAAAGAGGATGATTACAATCAAAAGGAAGAAAGTTTATAATCGATCTTAAGAAGATGCAATTGGTAGATGGGCCTTCTTTTTCATCTCACTACTTTATGAGTCAAACTCTCTCTTTTTTCCTCTTAGTGTAGATCTATGAAGCATGAATACGGGAGTTGAGTAGAGATTCGAGAGCTAGGAGATTCGGGAGCGTGAAAATTCTCAATGAATTCCGATTTGGGAGCGGCATGGATTCACTAATTAAATAAGTATTAAAAATATATTACACATAAGTAGTGAATAGCCCGTCCAACCGCTTAGACTCATGCATAGCTTGCCTAGGCACCCGCCTATGTTGCAATATTTTCGATGTTTATACCGCTTATTCTCCATGTTTTCAATATTTTCATACCCCCTATGTTGCAATTTTCATACCTCTTATTCTCCATGTTTTCAATATTTTCTATGTTGCAATACGGTTGGACGCACCAAACGTGGGACGGAACGTCTCGTCCCACTCCGTTCCGTCCCGTCTCACGTTTCAAACGGTACCTATATGTTTATTCTCCATGTTTTCAATATTTTCTGTTATTTTATAATTTATATGTCATTTTATTTTGCAATTTATGTATCACAATAAAATTATATATATATTTTTTAAACATAAGTAGACAATGTTTATATGTTACACAATAAATTTAGTGAAAATTTAAAAAGCCACCAAAGCCCCTGCCTAGACGCCTAAACACTAGGCTTCTGCCCGCCATCCAGCTATACGCCCAGTGCCCTTCACAACCTTGACATATCTTATATTAGTTCTTCTGGGGCTTATGTCAGGTGATTTTATTCTCTTTCAAATTATACATATATAATATTAGATTTTGGGCTTGTGTAGTTAGATCATATAAAGAAACCCTTATGTAAAAGCTGCAGTAATATAGCATTAGAGAGACTAATCTATCTTCAACCACATCTCTCATATTTATAAATCAATAAATAAACAAAAATCAACTAAACCAAAAATTTAGGAAAAATTCTTTTAATATAAAAAACACATCATGACATCAATGTGACTGTTAATTACTTTGTTTTTCCTGATTATTATTACATCATGCGCAATAAACCCCCAATTAATCATCAAGAAGTTGACAATCAATCCTCTGGAAATAAACCTGGCTTGCAGCAAGATCATAGGCAACATTGTAATGCTGCTGCGCCATAATCCCAACAACGTTCAAGTCACTGCCCTCAGGAGACAGTTGCACTGCCATGCAAAACTCACCCTCACCATAATCTTGAAAAGCGCTCTCTACGTCTAACCCTACTTCAGCCCCACCTGCAAAGTTCAACACAACATCTGGAAACCCTGTTAAATCTTCCCTTATATTCCCCTTGTAGCACAAACCTGAAGGAACACCAGGCTCTTCCACTTTTTCCAATCTTCCATCAAGCAACTTCCGAACTTCATCTCTAAGCACATAGTATGCACCTGTAGCTAAGAAGGATATTGTTGTTCCGGAATCGATGACTGTTCCACCCGAGCCTGATTCTGTTCTCTTGAAGATTTCCGGATCGATCTCAAGCCGCCTTTCCGCGAGGCTGATGCTCTCTAGGGTTAGATAGTAAAGTTCATTGTAGACTTCTAGTGGAGTTGAAGTGCCTTCTATCTTTGCACCATCGCCTAAGACTAACTGGTTATGAGGGTAGTTAGGATCCCTTATGCTACCGATGCAATAAGAGAATTTTGACCCCATGTGGTTTGCCAAAGATATGTTTGAAGGGCCTAGACCAATTATTCCACTAGGCTGCCCGTTGTAACCATCATTGTCCTGGGCACAACCAAAAACAACATTCGGGACAGTGCTAATGCCTTCGTCGGACGTCTCAAAAGTGAAAATTTCGGTCCCAATAAGTCCAGCTACTTTGGTGCTATCAAAGTATGTGTGAGAGAATTTGCAATTGTTTGAGGGGTCACATTTGTCACTAGGGGAAATTGTGCAATATGGGGATGAGCATGATAATGGGGTGTATGTAGAGGACTTGGAAGGGTCAAAAATCGGACTTGTTTGTTCAAAGCACTTGGTGCAAGGAAGGCATTGAACCCACAAGAGGTTGCTCCCTGTGTCTATGGTTAAGAGCTGTGGAACTGGTGGCTCACCGATTGAGAAATTGGCCATAAATTGTGCTCCACTGTCCTCGGCAACAAGACCAGCACGGGTGTCATCGTCACTGGAAAAACCGGCCTTTGCTCCCAAGCATGCTAAGCGTGCCCTGGAGCGTTTCAATGTGCTTATAGCACGGTCTTTGATGGTTGCATTAGGATTGTAGTACGGAGAGAGAGCCGAATCACGGTGAATGAGTTTTGTGGCCAAACGGCTTGGTGTTTTGACGGCGGAAGTTGTGGTCGTGGAGATTGGTGGTTAAGCATGATAAATATAAGAAAATAACAAGATTAATAAGAGAGAGGGAAGCAGATTTTGCAAATAAGCCTGCCATATTTGCTTCCCTCAACACAGAATGGCAGACTTGGCAGAAGAGCAGTGCTTATTTATATACCATTCTATCCTTGATATACTATATAAGGAACTAATCTTTTTGCGTAAACTTTCTTTTTGCATGTTAGATCTTATATATCGTAAGGGATTTACTCCTAATTAAGAAAAGGACTACATTAAATTAAAAAGGGAAATAAAAAGAAAGGATTGTATATCTTGGGAGTAAGTCACCGATCGTCACATGACATAAATTTCTAAGGTAGTAGTTTCATAAAATATCTATAATCTCAATGAAAAAAAGGAAACAAGTAAATAAGCATGTACCCTTGGAAACATAAAAACAAGGAAACATGTAAAGATAGTTTCGTATAAACTGCCTTCTATAGTTACGGTCATGCAAAAGAACCCTTCTGTCGATTGGCAAAACAAAGATTGCAGGGTCCAAATCCACGTCTTCTCCACCTGAAAAATGAGACGTTGCTGCAGATATTCCGCCAATTTCTCGGCCTAGGGTTACATTGTAGCACATTATCCACGGTCTATCCGTCATTATAACTGCATAGAGGAATTCGTGCACGGAGAGAATTTGTGAAGAAAAAAAAGAGATGTATTTTGGGAGAATAACTCAATGGTTTGTATATTCGCATAGCTTTGTGTGTGTGTACACTTTTCGAGATGATGCTAAAAAAGGTAGCAACATGCATTCCGTTCCTTGTCCCAATACTTTTCGAGAGGATGCTAAAAAGGTATCGCCATGCATTCCATTCCTCATCCCAATATATAAATATATATATATATATATGTGTGTGTGTGTTAAAAAGGTATCGCCATGCATTCCATTCCTCATCCCAATATATATATATATATGTGTGTTTGTGTGTGTGTGTGTGTATGTATAGGGATTCGTATTTTTGAAAAAAAAAATAGAGATTAGTTCTATATATATATATATATATATATATGTGTGTGTGTGTGTGTGTATGTATGTATAGGGATTCGTATTTTTGAAAAAAAAAATAGAGATTAGTTGGGGGACTCATTCCACATCGAATTTCAACGATCTGAACCGTCTATTTTATAAGTCTCGATTCATACATCATCATAACAAAACTTCTCTTCAATTCGAAGTCATTTGCCTATTTAATTATCACAATGAAATTTCAATGTTTCTTAGAGAACAAAGTGTTCGTCAATTTCTTTGAACTAAAATAAGTGTCTCAAATATCTCCGATTTGGCTAATATTTTACAATGATGATCTATGACGTGAAACTTGACAAAATAGACGGTTCGGATCGTTAAACTTTGATGTGGTGTGGGCTCCACAACTAATCCCCATTTAAAAAAAAAAATAGGAATCCCTTTCCTAAAAGGCTTCCTATATAAGTTGACTTTGTACAACTAATTATGGGAAGTAATAAAACAACAAATATAAATGATTTATGTATCTATTGAATGGTCTAGATTCATGGTACTCTTTTCGTCCCCCCATCAAGCAAAACAAAAGAAAGTGGAGATTAAGCTTGGAAGTGAGAACTGTTCACGTGAAAGGCCTTTGGTGAAGACATCGATGATTTGGTGGTGAGATGGGATATACAGTGTAGCAAGAACTCCTTGGGCAAGCAATTCCCTGATAAAATGGTAGTCAATTTCAATGTGATGAGTTTGAGCATGGAAGATTGGATTTGCAATTTTGGGGAGTCTGGAGACATTGTTGACAAAGATGCAAGGTGAGGTACGGATAGGAATGACAGGTTTATGAAATAGATAATAGAACTATCGTAGTTCAGTGGTTGCGGTGGCAAGATCATGATATTCAGCTTCAGAACTAGAACGGGATACAATGCTTTGCTTCTTAGTTGTCAAGGTAAGGAGATGAGTGTGGATGCAAATTTCCGCCGTCTTCTCATTTGACGAAAATGCACCTGCAAAATAATAACACCTAAGATTAAGGCCAAAAGCCTCACACACCCACGATTAATTAGGGCGAGGGGCTTTGACCAAAGAATCTCTCATGCCAAAGTTAGAATTTGAGAGAGAAAGTGTTTAGGAATTTTTTGGGAGAGAATGGCTTAGCATTTTAGTGGGAAAACATGGCTATTTATAAGGGAGTGACTGGCCCTATGGTCAAATTGTGAGTGTAATTGCAAGATATTATTTGAAATAATATCTTGAAATAATATCTTGCAATTAACTTGGAAATTAATCCCAAATTGATTAGGAAAATTGGGAGTTACATTTTGAGTGAGGATTTGATAAGGAGTGATGAGAGGTTTTTGAATAAATACCATTTTGACCACCTTTGACTCTTCCTTGGTTGAGCTGTTATTGTCCATTGCATGTGCGTGGGAATCCCGTTGTGCCTCGATGGTAATTTTGTTATTTTCACCCAAAAGTACACATGTCACCTCCATAATATTTTTTATTATTTTTTGGCTCTACAAATACCCCACACCTGCTGGGCTGCTTGCAGGAAAGGGCAGCATGTGTAGAGATCTCCAACTTTGATGCAAATTCCCACTTAGACATGGAATTAGACTCTTCTAGGCAAGGGAAATAAATCACCTCCAAAGCCTATTTAAGCCTACCTTAAGTAGGGGAATAAATCAACTTCGGAGGGAAAATATTTATCCTTACAAGAAAGAGAGAAAGCTAGAGGATAGTTTCCCCCTACCCTAGCACTTTTCTTTGCTTGCCAGTGCAAAGAACCGTCTTTTGTTGATTTCTTTGTCTTCTCCGCGCACCATCAATGTAAGAAAAACTTAATTTTCTTTGTTTTCTTCTTGAGTAGTGCTGCCATGGGGCAACTGTCGGGGTGGTGTGGCATGTCGGTTGGCAGGGGCCAGAAGTCGACTTGGCATGGGTAGAGGAGGTGGTGTGGCAGGTGCCATAGCTTGAGCTCGGTTTAACTAAAACCAAAGGCTGGCTTAGTATGGACTGAGGAAGTGGCGTGGCATGGGCCATGGTTTGGGCTGCAACGTCTAGGCTGTTTGCCAAGAATGAGGAAACTGCTTGAGTTTGATTTCTCAGTTGCTATAGATGGAGCAATCAATGATGGAGCTGTCAAGATCAGAGCTACTGAAGAAGAAGTGTCAAATGAGCGAACTGTTGAGTGCGAAGAGGTTGCTGCCCCCTGACAATTTGCTGCTTAACTGGTTTTCAAGTATTTGATCTTTTAAGATGTGTGGCCTTCTCGCATTGAAAAGCAATTAGTTATCCTCTCGCATTGGATAGCAGACCCAGATGGGTGTCGGGGAATTAGTTTACCCTTTTGTACTGGAGAGCAATTAGTTTATCCTCTTGCATTAGAGAGCAGACCCAGATGGGTGTCGGGGAATTAGTTTACCCTATCGCACTAGAGAACAATTAGTTTATCTTCTCACATTGGAGAGCAGACCTATATGGGTATTGGGGAATTAGTTTACCCTCTCGCACTGGAGAGCAATTAGTTTATCCTCTCTCACTGGAGAGCAAACTTATATAGGTGTTGGGGAATTGGTTTACCCTCTCGCACTGGAGAGCAGACCCAGATGGATGTCGGGGAACTAGTTTACCTTCTCGCATTGGAGAGTAATTAGTTTATCCTCGCACACTGGAGAGAAAACCTAGATAGGGGTTTAAGCAATTGTTGTAGACAGCAGTTGAGCCAGGCTTATGAATAACTTCTTGAATCTTTATTGAGAATAAAGAAATGGATCAATTGTGCTGGAAGGTAGAAACTGCATAACAAACTGGATAATCCTTTGCTTGTGAGGTCTTGTTTGTCGAGCTGCTTGAGACTTCGAGCTTATTTGGAAAAGCCTAATGGGGTTCAAGGGGTGATGGAGACTTCCCATGCTTGTGTAGGCTGTGTTGTTGACCTATCAAGATACTAATAAGTTCATTTATATATATATTTTACATTAAATTCACTTATCTTTTCTTAGTTGGTTCCTTGTATTTTTGAGCTATGTACTTTTCTTTTGTGTTTTGTAGGATTTGTCAAGCAAAGAAAAGAAAAATAGCACAAGTGGGATTTTAAGTAACAAATTCGTCAAAACTGCTTGTGTAGATCAGCTGACTTTGGAAGCAAGTTGCATGCAGCTCATAATGAATTAGAGAATGAGCCTTATAGTCTTGGAAAGCTACGGATGTCTATTGTCTGGAGCATTTCACGAATTGTTAATATCATTTTTCTAGAAAACGTTATAGCCATTCTAACACTGAAAGGTTACCAAGAGACTGAACAGTTTGTAACTGCAATGAAAGCAATAAACCCAATAAATCTAGCAGCCAAAACTGATGCAGCCAAGAACAAGCCAGCTGACACTTATTCAAATATAAAAGGGAATGGAATTAAAGATGAGGATTAAGAGGGAGCAATTGGCATAAAGGCTACCCAAAGAGTTACAATTGTTTTACCATTTCCTCTCACTTATTGTCATCACTAAATGGCTATTAGTAGGTGAGTTAAGGAGAAGAAAATGATGCAGCAAGAATTGGTTTAAAAGTAGCGTTGGGGAAGGAAGGAAAGAGGAGGAGGAGGCCTCAGTCGATTTCTTTCGGTTCTATCTTCTCAAACTCATGTCTATCTTTTGTTTTAACTTAAGGATTATGTGTAACTAAATTTTTAGTAGTTAGGGGCTTTTTTGAAGCCCCGAATATGATTGCAAGTTTGTTATGACATTTCGTTTGAATTACTTTTATGAATGGATGAAAATTGGTTCACTACTTGTCTCATTAATGAATTCTTTATGTGTTTTCTATGGATGCATACGTAGTAAGCATATCTAGGATTCTAACGCTATGAATATATGTGTGTCTGCCCTTGTCGAATGAGGACCTACATATGTTCTAGAGTAGTACTTGTTAATTGTGATTAACATGTGAACCAATTTCTAGGATAAGTAAGACAACGTTAGTACTTACGATGCCTTGCGATGACTCAAACTCTTTTCGTTCTTAATGATTTCTACTTGTTAAATCTATGAACATGCCATTCTAGATTGCATGCTAGGGCCTAAGTTAAGTTGAAAATGCCATTCTCTTAACATACTACATAAGAAAGAGTAATAGTTTGAGTTCTAACATTGAGCCAACTTGAGGATCTTCATCCGGAAATAGAAGGAATTTGAATGAAACATAACATGTTTGCATGATTATTTGGTGGTGGATAGCAATTTCCCTAACTCGTTTTTCTTAATTTGTGAACTACTTAAAATCTGTTTCTATCCTGTTTTTGTTCGATTTAATTTAAATAGCAAATCAACTCCAAAA